CAAAAATATAGTTTCAGCTCGGGCTATACCAGTTACCGATACCTGTTGAACACCATGGTTTTTCTTTTTTTTAATTAAATAAAAATAAAATGTCACTTGTCAACAATGTCCCTTTCTTGCAAATGACCTTCTTCGTTTTTGTCTATTTGGCCTTTATTCAATTGGATATTGGGACATTGCCATCTTTAATAATTATTTATATTAGGTTCTTTCGTTCGTCCCACTGGTGTAGGAATGAACTACACCAACGTACACCCATACCTTTCGTTTGGCCCGGTGTAAAACCACAAAGCACGTATCTTCTAGAGACCCCACGCCAATGTTAAACTTTTAAACCAAATTGGCGCCACCTTGTGTTTGGAGCTGGAACTAAAATGACAATTGACAGATGGCGGTAAATTCAAATTGTAATTTTTAGGAGTAGGTAGTAGTTTTAAATTAAATTTCAAATGATTTCCACATAAATTATTTTATAAAATAAAGAATGGAACTAGTAAGTTCGAAACTTTTATTTTACAAAATAATTTAGGTCGATTATACCAAATTTGAGGAATTAATTTGTTATAAGCAGGGGTCTGATGTGAAGAGTTGGTTCTGCATATTATTATTAAATAAATATAAGATATATCAATAAATAATAAAATAGAACATTCTTAAAATATGTTTATTAATAACTTAAATAATATTATTAGATAAAAATAAATACAAATAATAATAATACATATTTAACGAATACTTACTTGCAGCAAATAGGTATACAATCTCAAATCTTTAAAATACCTATCAATAATTTAAATGTGAAGTAGAGACTAGGATATTACATTTTATTAACACTAAAATAATATATTTTATAAATGTCTTTTAAACCGAGGACAAATGTAATATAGGTATTGTATTAAAAGGTGAATCCTTTTAACTATTCATTCAATGATAAATAGGTATTTTCCTTCCAAATACAGATGGTGGTATTACTCCACTGCTTTGAGTATTACTTATGTGAAAAATGATTTCGGAATCTAGTCCAGTGATAAATTGATTATCAATTAGTTGTTATACCCGTTTGTCTTTTTATGATGCAGATGCATGGTGAATCAATGAAGTTTTTCTCGAAGTTTTCAACGTAGCACCCACAGCTAGGTAGCACCAAAATTATTGCAAAACACAGTAGGTTATAACTAAGACGAAACTATAAACAGAAACCAAAAGCCAAAGCCAACAAAAAATCACTAAAATCAGACGGAAAAATGAGATTAACCAAAAACATAAATAAATACACGTCACATCTTTGGAGTCTTTGGTTAAGTTTTTCTCCCATAAAGCTTAAAAATGGAGTAAGAAATCAGAATTTTACCAGTAGCCCCATCTAGAGTTTGGAGCAAATAGCATAAAAAATGTCAATTGTCGGTTTTGACCTTGGTCATTCACGTGGAACCTCTATGTGCTTTGTGTGTAAAACCCACTATACCTTCCTGTCGGCGATGTGGTGTACACTGGTGGATACTTTCTCCACCAGCTATTTAGCAGGTGTGAATTACACTCGACATGTTTATAAGGAATAAGGAGGAAGTAAATTAGGGTAAATAAGGTGGTGTAACTGGTGTAATTTACACTGGTGGAAACTGCACCAACAACGAACGAAAGAACCTATTATCTCATGATATATGTTTTTTATATATTATAACCAAATAATAATACACTGTGAATGTGAATCCATGGAAATATAGTAAAGCACGTAGAATTGACGTTCTGCAGATATCTATTTCTTGATGTCCCGAGGATTTACTAAACGACGTACTTAAAACGTCCATAATTGGTCCTGGACATACAGACGATAAATGGACATGTAATGAACGTCCTTAGAACGTCCTGTGCTATCTAGGATTAAACTAAAAAGACAGACAAAGATTGAGAATACTTTTGACCATCGACATATCAACACCTTTGTTTTCTCCCGTTGCGAACTCGACGCTAATTACTAAAAACATATATTTTAAGATGTATTAATCCTGCTAATTATTCATAAATAGTAAATTTAAGTACTCGTATCATTTTGTTATGTAAAATTGTTTATAGTGTATATAAAGTTGATGACTGGATAACACATTTAATTTCATCCTAATCAAACAAGATAATCGAATTAAATTACCGGCTTTGGAGCTTACATTAAATTGTAATTAGATGAAACAAAATGGATTCTATGTATTTTGAGGTGATCTTTTCGAAAAAAAAAACAAAACAAAATGTAGCAGTTTTTCGAAAGTGCCGAAATTTTGGATTTTGTTAATTTTTCAATTTTGCGCATGCGCATGTCGCAAATAAATCATTATTTTTAAAACGCAGTTTACGACAATTGAAAGCTTAGAAAAAATGCTAATTTTTATGTCTCCTGAGAAATTTTGATCGGATGCACCGTTCTCGCGGTATGGACGATTGAAATTTGTTTAGTATTTTGAGGCGGCGAAGGTCGAAAAATTGAATTTGTTAAATGTTCAAACACTAAATTCTTCATAACTTTGGTAAAAATTAAGATATTTGAAGAAACAAAAATTCGTTTTGAACTTAAGGGATGTGACTATTGATTCCAAGAAGGGGGCAAGAGAAATCCCAAAATTGGGCATATGGCGGAAGGGCAAAGTGTACCGCAAGCCTAATTTCATTGTTTGCCTATAACGGCCAAACTATTTAAATTTATTTAATGCCACTTACAGAGCTTACTCTTAAATATGAAATCTTATACGTGTGTGAATTTTACCGAAATCGGATTATAATTGGCCAAGATATCAAACAATTTATCAAATTTTTTTTCCTAAAAAAAAAACTAAATTTTTTTTCGAAAGTTTGAAGTGGCACAAAAATCCCAAAAATGCACCCAATGACTCAAAACTTTTTTTTGAATACTCTATTATGTTTAGAATACGATTACATTACGGAAAATTCTGCAAAAATATTTTATCTATTTGTTTGACCACTGTTCATTGAGTGACGACCAAAAAACACGGTTTTTGAGAAAAGTTGCCTAAAATTGACGATTTTCAGTTTTTTGGTCTGAAAATTGAGTAAACCTAAATCTCATGTCTTCTCAATGTGTATACAAAGTTTAAAGTGTGTATGTTTCTTCTAAGTTGTAGAATTCTCCCGACAAAAGTCCCATTATACGCGCTCCGCGGGATCCAAAACTCGTGCATTTCTGTAAATTGATTTTTTTGTGATTTCCCGTTTTAAATTTCTTACATACCTAAATTTATTAGGCCTAAAATTTATTAAATTGTATTTTACTGACTTGTTATAAGACGTTTCTTGAGTTTTGTGCAAAAAATAGAATTACCGCAAAATTAGCCGGACGTCGTATCAAGGATAGTCATGGTCTCGACGTTCGCTATCCGACAAGTTTAAACTTGAAACGGTCATATTATTACAAATTGAATCGCTTGATAGTGTATATCGGCATAGATTTTTAATAACCGTGTTCAGCAAGCTCTGTGTACACGTGGTTTTTCGGACTTCTTCAGCAATTTATTAAGTACGTTCTTAAATTAAGAAAATTCTATTACAGTGCTATAATTTTTTTGTTTCCAGGTTGCAATGGCTGGACTGTGTTTATTATATCATCAGAAACTTGCAGAGGGTGAACTTACCCCAATTAGACCGATAGGATTGAAAGGTCTGCAGATGGTCAGCAAAGAGAGAGGGGATGATTTTTTCAGTTCTTTAGAACCAGGTTTTATATTGCATGAAAGGTGTCGCAAACATAACGTAGCTCGACGTTACGGAAAAGAGTTTATTTATAAAACCTGGGATAGACATAAAAGGGCCGCGATTGACAATGCCAAAAAAAAAGGAGGATGAAGCATCAACCGAGAAGAAAACCAGATGTTAGAGAACAAAAAACAAGCTTATCACCAAGTTGGAACTTACACTCAAGCTTAGGATTAATTTCCTAACATTTTTAAAGTATACCTTCTTGTATATTTTTTTGTGCTCTTTCCGATGGCGCAGTTAGTTTCTTCAAATATATTTTTTGTTACATGTTTTCGGAAAACCCGGAGAAAATCATATGGGGAAAAATTAAAAAAAAAAATTACGCCTTCCGGTTTCCTGCGAATTCCCGAAAAATTATGGCAGATTTCGCCGCGGGACTTATTTTATTTGAGAGCCCACAAAAAAATACGCAACTTCTCTCATGGGCACATATGTCTAACATTTATAATTTCCCCACAAATTCATCGCAAATTTCATGTTCATGATTCTGATCAAAGAAACGAAAAAACAACTTTTTGGTAAAAGCACTTCTGGCGGCGAGAAATTCACCATTAAAACTACTTATGCAATGAAATTCCGAATTATTTTTGCCTCCTCTTTCGATTGGTGCATTTAATTTTACTATCAGAATGATACTTGCCCAGATAATTAGCATTTTTACCATGGAAAATTCCGGAAAACCCGGTTTTTCCTAATTTAAAAAAAATTGAAAAACTGCTACATCATTTTTTTCTTTTTTTCGGAAAGATTACATCAAAATACACAAGGTCCACTTTGTTTTATCCAATTACAAATTAATGTAAGCTCGAAGGGGCTTTTTTTCGTTATTTAATTGGACTAAGAGTTTGGCAACTTATTTTCAAACATTCAAACATTCAACTAGCTATATTACTACAGTCCACTACCTCAGCTGATGTGAAGACGGTCTTCTTTCTGCGACGGCAATTGAGAAGATAAAAAAACGCAGAGAACAGCATACAAATAATTATTTAATAGCAATTTAGAAAACAAAAAACAACTTGTTAACATCAGCTCCATTTTCAGTGATACCAAAAGTCCTAAAGTACAGTGGTATGTTAGAAGCATCACTTGAGGCATCTATAAAAAAATGTACCTACGTAGTAAAAATTAGGTACAATTTTATATTGCACTTGTCAAAGAGATTTATACAGTATTTGTAATAAGTTGTGTTCTATTTTCAACTTTAACTTATTACGTCAAAATAAATAAAACTTGCAATATATTTATTTTTAATTTGTTCAAAATTGTTTCATCGATAAAATATAGAAATAGAAACCAGCAAACCAATATTTCATACATATTGTTCTTCAGATACTGCTATTTTATCTAAGTATTTTTGAAAGGTTACATAAGCGTTTATTACGGCAAAAATGTGGATTTAAAATACGTATCTTGTCTCTGTTTATTAAAAACTGTAGATATTTCTATTTTAGTTAAGTTGGTTGGTTTTTCCTCTAGTTCTGCTCGATCTAAATATTTCATGGTAACAAAAAATCTGAACATACAGTAGTAAATGATTTCAACAACTGTAATCAAACTGCAACCTAGGAACAAACTATATACTCCTCCAAATGATGCTGAAAAATAAAAAAACGTATTTTAAAATTAATTTAAATAAGTATATTTTTATCGAGGTAATGAATAAGAAGAAGAAGAAGAAGAGTTTGAACAAGATGTTTAGTATTTAAGTTAAAAATTTAAGATTATATAGAATAATTCATCATTAATAAAAAATTCTATTTGTTATTTGAATAAAATATTATATTCATAATTTGTGATTTTTCACTTTCTCCTTTACCATTTCCCACAGAGTCACCGCCGAGCGCCCCCGGAGAAGTCTAATGCCAGAATTTAATTCGGCATCCCCGAAAACGCCCGAGTAACGATTTTGGAGTGATTTTCATGGACGCTGCCATTTCCTTCCCAGTCACCCCCAGACAACCGCATAGAGTCACCCCCGGGGATATCTAATGTTAGAATTGAATTCGGCATTCCCTAAAACCCCCGAGTAACGAGTTTGGAGCGCTTCCCATGGACTATGCAATTTTTTTTTTTTTTTTTTTTTTTTTTAATGGCACTGGATATAACCAAAAGGCCAGACTATTGTAGTAATCCATAAATCTTTAATTGTTTTATCCACTATTGTTACATGATTACATTATTATTATATTTTGACTTACAGCTATCAAAATACCTGAGTTTGTAATTAATTATAAAAAATGTCTATTTTTTTATTATTTGTTTTTTTGATTATTTTTTTTGTATTATTTTTTTTTTGTATTATTTTTTTTTGTATTATTTTTTTTTTGTATTATTTTTTTTTTTGTATTATTTTTTTTTGTATTATTTTTTTTTTTGTATTATTTTTTGTTTTTTTTTTTTTTTTTCATTTTTTCCTTGGTTTCATTTTTTTATTTTATCATTTATTTTATTTTTTCGTTTCAGGTTTACAATATTTTTAGGGTAGCTCAGCTACTTACAATCTTGTATTAGTTTTTTTAACAAATTCATACAATATTTTATAAACTTTAACATCGTTTAATGAAAGCAGAACATCAATGTTTATTGGTAGAGGTATACCAATATTAACTAATTCTAAGTACATTGTGTCAGTATCTAACGAATTTAGGACACACTCTAAAATTATATGATTGAGATCAGCAATTTCATCACAAATTAAACATAAATTATTATCTGATAGACCAAATTTTTCCTTGTAGGCAGGATGCATAGCATGATTACTTCTCATACGACAAATAACTCGGATAAAAGACCTATTTATTTCGTTTTTGAACCAGGGACACTTTGGAATATTAGGTTGAATGTTTTTGTATTTCTTCCCTTTTTCTTCTTTAGAATATGCATCTTGCCAAGTTTTAAACATTGATAATTTAGATTTAGCAATAAAATCTGATTTTGGAGTTTTAATATTTTTATTAGTTCCCGAAACAGTAGCCTTTTTTGCTAGTATATCCACTTTCTCATTGTTACTAATACCTACATGAGATTTTATCCACGCCAACGAAATTTCTTTATTTTGTTCCAAACATTGATAGTTAATCTTAAGAATTTCTGAGGCTATATAGTTGGTAGGACTGGTAACGTTCCATTTTGCAAAATATTCTACTGCACTCTTACTATCAGTAAATATAACATATTTAGATTTATTTTCCTGAAGACATACGTTAAAAGCTTCTTTTATAGCAACAAGTTCAGCATTGTATATTGACATTGTACTGGGAAGTTTAAATGAAATTTCATAATTTTTGTTAGGATACAAAATTGCACATCCTAATTGGTTCCCAATTTTAGATCCGTCCGTATATATGTTTTCAAATGTATTCCATTTTGTTATTAAATCTTCTTTAAATGCATTTTTAATCACTAGAGGGTTTTCATTCAGTAGATTTTTGTTTATATATGTTTTCAATGGCGTTGTTAAAGCTGAAAAATGTAAGGACCATAGTGGAATTGCATTTTGTTGATGGAGGTCTGGAATCATTTCAATGGTAGATAAAAAAGTCTCTACTAGTAAAGGAAGTTTTTTCTTTGACCAATACTTTCCAGTTAAACACAGAGAAGATAAATTGGATAAAAGAGGGAGAAGAACCGAATTTTTCGCCCTTTGATTTATTAAAAACTTTTCGGATAAAAATTTTCTTCTAAAATTGAGAGGAGGTTCTGTAGTTTCTGATTCTATTACATTAATTGGAGTACTTGGGAGAAAACCTATACTTAATCTAAGACATTTGTATTTTATTCTGTCCAATTTTTGCAAATGAGTATTTGATGCATCATTGTATAATATTGCACCATAGTCAAAAATTGATCTAATCAGCACCCTATAAAAAAGAATTGCTATGTTGGGGTCTGCACCCCAATTATATTTGGAAACAGTTTTTATTAAATTTACAGCATTTTCTGTTCTTTTTACAATATAATTAATATGTTCTTTCCAGTTTAGCTTCTTGTCCAATATGACACCCAAGAATTTATGACTACTTTTAAGTTGAAATTGACAATTTCCTAGTGAAGCAACATTTGAAAGTTGAGTTCTTTTCCTTGTAAAGCAAACTACCGCTGACTTGTTTTCTGAAATTGTTAGACCATTTTCAAACAACCATTTCTGTATGTCTTCTACACCTAATGATAGTTGATAAATACTAGAATCAATACTTTTATGCTGAGTATACAAAACAATATCATCAGCAAATTGAAGAATTTTTGTAGGAATAGATATATGTCGTTCCAAATCTTGAGTATAAATAAGGTATAGAAGTGGACTTAAAACGCTTCCTTGAGGAAGACCAAATGAAGTTTCTCTAGGTCCTATAAATTCATTATTTATTCTAATCAATAACTTTCGTCTTGTATATAGTTTATAAATATGTAAGGAGATTAAGTGAGGGATCCCCAATGATATCATTTTTTGAATCAGTATTTCTAGATTGACATTATCATAAGCTCCTTTAATATCTAAAAACACAGCAGTGGTAGAAATTTGTTGGGAAAATCCAATTTGTATGTCAGTTGTTATGGTTGCAATACTTTCTTGAGTAGACTTGTTTCTCCTGAAGCCAAATTGTGAGTTTGGAAACATATTATTGTGTTCCAACCAATGTTCCAGTCTAAGTTTGATCATTTTTTCATACGTTTTTAAAACACAAGATGATAGTGATATTGGTCTATATGAATCTGCATTAGTTGGAATTTTGTTTGGCTTGAATATGGGTAAAATAATATAATCAGACCAAGATTCTGGAATGTCCAATTTCTTAGCCCATATTTTGTTTAAGATATTTAATAGTTGTTGTTTAGCAATCTTAGGGAGGTTACTTAGCATTGTATAATGAATATTATCTAAACCTGGAGACGAGTTCTTTGTTTTCATTAAGGCCAATTCTAATTCATTATAAGAGAATGGTGTTAATAAGTTTTTGGAGTTTTCGGTTGAAGTGGCTAGGGATTTATTTTCCAATTCTGAATCATTAGGAGGGCATGGAACAACGAATGGCGGGGCTAATTTCAAATGAAATTCTGGTATCCACTCGGCTGTTTCGATGTCTACTGGAGGAATCATTGAAGAATTTTGATTTTTTAATGAACGAACTTTTTGCCAAACTTCCTTAATAGGAGAATGTTGGTTCAGAGATAGACAATAATTTTTCCAACTTTCCCTTTTGACTTGTTTTATTGTCTTTTTTGCTATGGCATCTAATCTTTTGTATTCTATAATATTTGAGAGTGTTGGATTTGTCTGGAAGGTTATAAAAGCTTTTTTTCTGTTATCTATCACTTCATCACATTTTTGGTTCCACCAGAATTTATTTTTAGATGAATAGTTACTTTTAATAAATTTTGGAATTGACTTTTCAGCAGCCGTATCTATGTTTTGAATAAATTCTTCATAATTAAGATTAATATTTCCGTGGAACAATTTTTGTGTTTCTAAATAAAACGAATTCCAATTAGCCCTCTTTAAATTCCATTTTCTGGTAGTCTGAGTAATTATATTTTTAGGAGTGATTGAGATTGAAGTAAGAGTGGGAAGGTGATTCGAACCATATAAGTCATTTAGAGTTTCCCATTTCAGAAGATGTCTAATTTCTAGAGAACTGATTGTCAAATCAATAGTTGAAGGTATGGTGTGTAGATTTCCCAAAAATGTTGGTGATCCCAGAATGACCCCCGCAGGCCGCCCCTGAGCGCTCCCGTGTAATTCCAATGCCAGAATTGAATTCGGTATTCCCGAAAACCCCCTAATAGCGAGTTTGGAGCGATTTTCATGCACGCTGCAAGTTTTCCCCCAATTCACCCCCCGCACACCTCCACAGACCCACCCCCGTGCACCACCCGGGTAATTCTAATGTCATAATCAAGTTCGGCAGCCCTAAAAACCCCCCGAGTAACGATTTCCGAGCGATTTTTCCGAGTTTCCAGTCGTTCCTATAATGGTACAAGTAATAGTGCAATTGGAAAATGCATTTTCCGCCCCAGAAGGCATTTTTCAAAAAATGGTTAGACCACATGATATATAATTTTTTTCTAGGACCTTCCTGAACACAATTAGGCATTCCAAACAAATGAATTGCCAGTGGGAAAGTTTGGTATATCTAAGGGTGGCGACATACGGTGTATTCTATCTACTTTACGTAAAATCATAAATAATGGATTACATTTAAATATTTTATGTCAAACACAATAAAAATAATATTTAAAAAACCCACCTATACATTTCTTCATAAATTGGCAGGCTTGGCGACTACTACTTCGAATAAAAATAGCGTCCAAGTTGCAAGATTATGTCGCTACCCCCTTAGATATACAAGAATTTCCTACTGGCACCTATTGTTTGACAGGTCGTTGGAATGCCTAATTCAGAAAACCGCATCTCGATATCTGCTGTCCCTAAAAATTTCCGCTATTTTTGCTAACTTCCCTGGACTATTAATTTCTTACGAGCAGAAGAAATCCGTAAAATCGCTTGCCATTTGATTTTTATTACGCAAAATCTGCAGCTTGCAGCCGAATGCAGCACTAGCCTTATTTGAAGACACTCGTCGAATGTATTACATTTTTTGCAAGTATTTTTTATGATATATTCTTTATTAAGTTAGCCATGCTTTGTAAATGACAGTAAACAAGATGTCTACTCAGTGTCACAGGATTTATTTTGTGTTGAAAATAATTACCAGTATATTATTGACTATTTACGGTAAGAAATTTTTAATATCTATCAAAATTTACTTGATTTGCCAAGATGCTTTGTTATATTTCAACTTGTTCGGTAAAAATTGAAGTGTCTGCCACAACAACGTTATAGGTGACTTTACAAAAAAATTTTGGTTTCTATGGAATAAGTTTTATATTCTAACATTATCTTGAGATCGTTAAATGTTCCATTTAGGTGTTTATACTTGTATAAACTAGATAAATAAATAAATAAAAATGAATATAGATAAAAACTGGTTTAAAATGTTTTTCTACATTTTTTCACAAAGCACGACTAACTCGGTTACAACGTTATTATTCAATTATTGATCTTTTTTCGATTTTTGAATTTGTATCCCGTTTTCGTTTCTTTGATTTTAAATTATTTTAATAAAAAAATTCTTGATTTAGGCCCTAAGCACCCTAAGCACCGAGAAATATAATTTTTTTAGTAGGATTTTTTAAAATTAAATAGCAAATATTTTCTTTTTTCTCGTATCCAGAAAGTATAGGAATCATGATTTTTTTATCGACTCAGAGTTTTTATCATTATTTCATAAATATTCTAAATACTTTTTGATTAAGATGGGCCGTATTTAATATTTTTGATAAAAGACCAAGCTGGCATTTTATGGAAAAATTGACAATGGTGAAATTTTCTGAATTTTTGAGTATGTTTCAATATCGAATTCATAAATAATAGTGCCCATGGGTACAACTCAATTGTATGAATAGTTTTTAATAAATTGAATACTGGCTATTTTTTTTTTATAAATTATAAAATTAGGGACTATACATTTTATACAGGGTAAGTCAAAAAGTTGGTAGACCCTGTATTCTGGTATTATTAAAAGTTTATTTATTTTATATCGCGAATTATTAATAAGACATTACGCCATTTCCAATATAACACTGGATATAAATTACTATTAATTACAGGGTGAGTAATAAATTACCGAAAATCAAATTTTAATGATTACTTTATATTCTCCATATTATAATCATGCTAAAATAGCCTTGACTTAAATATTTAAAATTAGGGTGAGTCAAAAAGTTTTTAGATTATGTATGCTGTTTTTAATACAATTTTACCTATTTTGTACTGCGTGTTAATAATATACTATAAACCTTTTACAAATATGTATATAAATACTTTAATCATATACAGTTTGCAACAAAAAAACCAAAAAATGGCTTTTTCTATGTCTTGCTCTATATTAAAAAAAATTTCGTAAGTTACATTTATTTTAATAATTGATAAATATGTTGCCTGTTTTTAAATATAAAAAATATTTTAATAAACTTTAATATTTATGGAATTAACATACAATTTTTGCTTTTTTTTTCAGTATATTAAATCCAGATCTGAATAATTAAAAATTTTTTGACTAAAATTTTCGAGAGCCCCAGTTGTTTTTTCCATTTTTTCTTTACAACAATAATTTGTTACCAAGATAATCTGTTCTGATATAAACAAGAGAGTCACTTCTCAAAATTTTCGTTTATTAATGCATCACCTCAAAATATTATATTTGTAAAATTGTTACAATTCAACTTTGTTTAATTTTCGTCACAGCGCGTTTCAATAAAATGTCACATCCTAAATAAACATTTTCCTTTATAAACAAAACCGTCACAATTAAGTCGTGGTTAGGTGCGTATGTTTTGTGAAAGAGTGACACAAGTGAAAATATTTAAATTTATAAAATAAACTTAATAGTTAAACAAAACTTATATAAAAATCCCAAAAAGCAATATTAACGATAAATTATATAAGAAATACTATGTTATGTTATGTTGATAATGGGGTGTTAATACACTGCGACCTAAAAGATCTATTGTGCCCCCTTCTGTCGCCACTGGACTAAGGAAAGTGTAGGATTTGAAGTGGCTTCAAGTTAGGTAAGTCTCCCTCTTCTATTTGATATCCTCCTAGATATAGTGCCCTTGGATTCTGGAGTGCTACACATTCAGTTAGGATGTGAATGGAGGTTTCGTCCTCCTCCTCACAGAATCTGCACTCACTATCCTCTACTACTCTCAGTTTACTTAGGTGTCCTTTTAGTCGGCAGTGCCCGGTAAGGATCCCTGTTACAATACGTAGCCTGTTCTTGCTCAGGCAGATGCAGGCTTCCGATCTTTTTTGGTTATATTCACCCAGAAGTATCTTGGCCTGTCTCAGCCCCAAGAGATTGTTCCAATTATCGGTTCTTCTACTACCCAATTCTTTTTTAATCTCTTCTAATATTATGTTACTGCTGATACCGCAGAACGGCTCAGGTCCTACAAAGGGTGTTTGAGCCCCTTTCCTTGCAAGACTATCTGCAATCTCGTTACCCTGTACCCCGTTATGTCCCGGGACCCAAGTGAGAGTAACTCTATTTTTCTCGCCTAGCTCATTCAATTGTTCTAGGCATCTCCATACCATTTTTGAGCTGATTACGTAAGAACTCAGCGCTTTGATGGCTGCTTGACTATCGGACATGATGATAATCTCTTGTCTATGATAGTTTCTCTCGATGTTAAACTGGATACACTTCTCGATGGCGTGAATTTCCGCCTGGAAGATGCTTGGGTATTTTCCCAAGCTTTCGGAGTGCTTGGTTCTCGGCCCATACACTCCTATTCCAGTTCCTTCTATGGTTTTGGAACCGTCCGTGTACCACTGAATAGCACGTCTTTCGGTTGCAAGCGCGATGGATTCTTGGCTCCATTCTTTCTTGCAGCCCAGCTCTGTGGTTTTGAAGTTTTTCACAAAACTGTACTTCTTTTGCATTTCATCCTGGGGCATGTCCCAGGTATCTTTAGTCCTGAAGCAAGTAGACTTTCGTCTGATTACTCCGCTCCTGATCATTCTATAAGAAATACTAAATACTACCCATTTAATTATTTTATGAAAACTCAAACGTTATATAGAATATTTTGCTTCTAATATTTACACTATTATTATTTTATAAAATTTTAATGAATTCTCCTAAAAATTTTATTCTTTAATTAGGATGTTTCATTTTTTAAGGTACACAATTGCAAAAAGTTTTAGGTTATATCAATAAATATTTTATCCTTTTGACATTTTAAAAAATTCCTATTGATTTCTGTTTTTATTTTCAGCGAATTTCCGTAAAAACAAATTTAAATCGCCGAAAAAATGTTCGTGTTAATCGGTAACACGATATTAATGGTTTGAGCTCATGTTCATTTCATCTCTGACAATAAAGACGTTTGATCTTTGAATGTATATATCCTTTGATGTTCAATGTAGATCTTTCATATACATTAGAGTTTCTTTGGATGTACTTTCTAAGAATAAATGGACAAGGCTGCAGATATACTACCCGGAGATACAACGTATCGAAGGGTTGATATAGAATTGAACATGATACGAAAACCGTTAATGTCGCCGGGAATAGAAGATTTTCCGGACGCGGGAATCGGGATAATGTACTGGAAATAATGGATATATCATGGAAAAGCGATAAGAAATGTTGGAATCAAATGGAACAGACGGTTATGGTGGAATGAGCATCTTCAAATGGTGAGTCTTTTGATTTAAATTTTACTTTTTCTGTAAACAGATTATTAATGCACCCTTAATTTAAAAGTGACACAAATTAGATTTATCATCTTCTGATATGATACCATAAATGTGATGAAACAAATTTCAAAATCGACACAGGCGCCGTTTAGACGAGTCACAAATTTGATGCCTGGTGTATTGTTGTTTGCTAATTAAATTCATGGTATTTTAAGTTGTGTAATTTTTGAAGTAAGGGTTAATATTTTGTGGTTCATTTTTATTTCTATTGACATTTCTTGTACGTTGTTTTAGGAAGAATGAGGGGCTTTAAACAGCGAGTCTTTTGATTTAAAATTAGCTAAGAATAAATATAATTAATCATTAGCTATTCAGGGAGGATTAGATTTTAGGTCAATATAGCTGTTATTCTATAAATATTTTTATTATCAATGCTATTTAGCAAATTTGGGCTACTTTTTTTCTTGCGAAACACTCTGTGTTTTATTTCATTTTAAATTTTATGTATTAATAGAAGTAATTTTCATAAAGATTCATTATACCTATTATTAAAAAATAAAGAAAAAGAAGAAGAATTATAAATTATGACCTGCGTGTATTTTTCCAAATCCTACTTTAAAAACACTTGCTGTGGATAACGTGTTTTACATTGTATGGTGGATGAGCCGTTACAATAAGTCTATCGAACTTCAATACAATTAACTTAAAAATACTTAAGAAATACTTACACAAGAGATATATTGTGGAAAAAATTGTATCCCTTAAATAAATTGTTTGAGATTGGTCGTTGAAAAATACATTTATTAGTACCGAGTCTTTAGTTATCGTTGTATTTCCACTGAAACAATTAAAAAAAGAGGACAGTTTATTTACCATAATTAAAAATAAATCATGTTGGTACTCCTGACCTTACTAGTAAATTTTTGGTTGTCATATTCGCGATTCAAAAAAATTCGGCGAGTCTGTAATTTGTCACCAATAAGTAGGATATTTGTTTGTTTACATTATATTTGTTGTGGGCGGGATTTTGTATTTGTAATATTTTAACTGTTTTTAGATAATAATAGTGTTTTTTAGTTTCAGTTAGTACTACTTTAAGTTTAGTTCGCCATAAATATATTTTTCATGTGTTTATGACTAATTTGTTGGAAATCTTCATTTATCTGGGTGCTACACAAACATCTAGAAACATTTGTTTACTAAACGTAAGGCATCTTTTATTATGTGGTTAAAATAAAATTTCAGGTACCTAACGTTTATTATTGATTTATTTTTTCATCTGTGAAATTAGTTAAATTTTGTTATTTTAACCAATAAGAACTTCTTCGTTTTTGTTTTTTGATAAAATTAAGTTTACCTTTTGAACTGACAACTATATATAATTTAAAAACTTTTATTAAACTAAAATGTTAATACGTACCTAAATTTTAAAATTATTGTTAATTCTATTGCAAAAAATATTTATGAATAAAATTAACTTGTTTATGTTAAATCATATATAAAACACATAAAACTAATTTACATCAATATTCAATTTTTAACCATTATACATCATTTTTTTAATACCTAAACAATTCTAAATGAACTAAAATTAAGTTTAAGACTCAGAAATCATGATAAGAATTTTAATATTTGGCAAATGTTAAATAATCAACTTTTTCTACACCCATATTATAATAATGCACTTATATGCCTAAATCCGTTTCAATCAAGCATGCTGTGCATTTGACGTTTGTCATAGGTTCCTATTGTTTTAGTTGTCAAAATTAAATTTTCGTAGATAGCTAAACTTCGATTATTATATTATCAAAATGTCTGATATCAGCTATGTAGAAGACTTACCATCGACTCCTCCACACATATGGGAGAAAGCAGAAAAGGCAGTACAAAATATTTTACCCCAAAAATCTATGGTAATACCAATACCCGAGGTAATACCATTAATTACAATTTTATAGATTTTTTTATAAAAGTACGAGTAAATACTGTTATTGTGTTCAATGCAAATATTAATATAATATTTATAGTTCTTGATTATTTATCGGGTGTAGAAAAAATAGCGTATTCAACTCTCATGTAATGGTTATTAATATACTCACATAAACCATACGAAACTCGCCTTCGGCTCGTTTCGTATCCCGGTTAATGTTCGTGTAGTAATAACCATCATTACATGATCGTTACATAATATACTATTAGGTTGCAGCGGTTATGCGCATGATTGGCTCTTACAACTGTTGATGTAATGCTACGTTGCCATATCCATTTTTTTTAGACTATTAAAGGAAATTATATTGCTATAAAATAAACAAATTTATAGAATGTTTAATAAACACTTTTAAAATATTAAACGAAAAAATAATACTTACAATGAAGACATCCCCATGCTTTCTTCATAATCGAATGAGGAATATTCTGATATTATATCATAATAATCATCTTCACATTGCGAAGGACAATCACATATATTGCTGAAGTCCTGCCCATCTAAAAAATCAATCTCCTTAGATCAAAACAAAATATACTTATAGCGATCTCTGGCTGATAATTCGACAGGCATTGAGTTATTAAATAAGTCTTAAATTTTGCAATAATAAAAAAACTAAAAATATACCAAAAAAAATATAAAAATGGAAGTAAAAAGGAAACAATAAGGGATTTTAAATATGTATATGTATGTCTTACCAGAAAACGTGTCATGTATGCACGATAATTTAGAAATATTACATTCGGGCTTGCCTAAAATATAATTTTATTTATTAATCGTTAGTCTTTAAACGTTAAACGTTTATCGTAAATCGTAAATCGTAAATCGTAAATCGTAAATCGTAAATCGTAAATCGTAAATCGTAAATCGTAAATCGTAAATCGTAAATCGTAAATCGTAAATCGTAAATCGTAAATCGTAAATCGTAAATCGTAAATCGTAAATCGTAAATCGTAAATCGTAAATCGTAAATCGTAAATCGTAAATCGTAAATCGTAAATCGTAAATCGTAAATCGTAAATCGTAAATCGTAAATCGTAAATCGTAAATCGTAAATCGTAAATCGTAAATCGTAAATCGTAAATCGTAAATCGTAAATCGTAAATCGTAAATCGTAAATCGTAAATCGTAAATCGTAAATCGTAAATCGTAAATCGTAAATCGTAAATCGTAAATCGTAAATCGTAAATCGTAAATCGTAAATCGTAAATCGTAAATCGTAAATCGTAAATCGTAAATCGTAAATCGTAAATCGTAAATCGTAAATCGTAAATCGTAAATCGTAAATCGTAAATCGTAAATCGTAAATCGTAAATCGTAAATCGTAAATCGTAAATCGTAAATCGTAAATCGTAAATCGTAAATCGTAAATCGTAAATCGTAAATCGTAAATCGTAAATCGTAAATCGTAAATCGTAAATCGTAAATCGTAAATCGTAAATCGTAAATCGTAAATCGTAAATCGTAAATCGTAAATCGTAAATCGTAAATCGTTAATCGTTAATCGTTAATAGTTAATAGTTAATAGTTAATCGTTAATCGTTAATCGTTAATCGTTAATCGTTAATCGTTAATCGTTAATCGTTAATCGTTAATCGTTAATCGTTAATCGTTAATCGTTAATCGTTAATCGTTAATCGTTAATCGTTAATCGTTAATCGTTAATCGTTAATCGTTAATCGTTAATCGTTAATCGTTAATCGTTAATCGTTAATCGTTAATCGTTAATCGTTAATCGTTAATCGTTAATCGTTAATCGTTAATCGTTAATCGTTAATCGTTAATCGTTAATCGTTAATCGTTAATCGTTAATCGTTAATCGTTAATCGTTAATCGTTAATCGTTAATCGTTAATCGTTAATCGTTAATCGTTAATCGTTAATCGTTAATCGTTAATCGTTAATCGTTAATCGTTAATCGTTAATCGTTAATCGTTAATCGTTAATCGTTAATCGTTAATCGTTAATCGTTAATCGTTAATCGTTAATCGTTAATCGTTAATCGTTATTCGGTTATCGTTAATCGTTAATCGTTAATGATTAATAATTAATTATACTGGATCGATCAAGCAAATATATTCATTCATATAGTAAACGTTTAACAGAAAAAAAACTAGACCTAACCTATAAAATCATAATAATATGGAACACAATCGCAGTTTTCGTAGTAATAATAGGCTTCGCATTCGGTCACACAATTTGAATAACTATACGCTGTAAAAGTTTGAAGTTCTAACTCATCTGAATAATAGCAATCCCTTTGACTGAATGGCAGGTTTCTGACTGCATCGCTACACATCATCTTTATGCCGTACAACTGAAGATAAGATATTGTGCCGCTGGATATCATTTTTGTCGTTGATTGGAATCCGGGATATTCATCAGGATCATGAATAATAACCTAAAAAGTAGAATAAAGAAATAATAACTAGCATGAATAGGAATAGGACATGTTCAAAATTTTTATTATTGATAATAATATATTTTTAGCATAAAGTGTAGTTCTGGTATCTATTTTATTGTATAACACTCCATTACATGTCTAACCTCTAAACTGTCATTTCAACTGTCTGTCGAGTAACAAGTGTCAGCTCTTCTTATTGTGACTACTGTGGCCTCGTACTTACTTACATACATCCTAATATTCCCCTTTTTATAACAAAGAAAAAACACAAAACTAATAAAAAAAATCTTGGAGTCTCTAGCTCCAGCAACATATATTCTAACACAAACGTTGCATTATATTCATAAAACTTTGATATTATGTGGGTCCATTGTTAAACTAAATTTACCTTAAAACCTGAAGATTGATAGTCTGAATATTGTACAGGTTGAAGCATAGGATCTAGGATCACTGATATACCAGCTCCAAATCCATTTAAATCTGTATAGGGATATTTGGTGTCAGTAGACCTAAAAAGCCAGTATTTATATTTTTAATTCATTTTGCTATAAGTGTACGTACCCATAATTAAAAGAACAACAATAGCCATCAACTGTTAAGCTTTCTTTGAACGATTTTAAACAATTCACTGGAACGTTATTCCACAAGCAATATTTGACCATTTCACTGCAGTTCTGCACAATATTTTTCATAAAATAAGATATATTAAAGATAGAGTTCTTCTCTAAAATATTTTGAAAAACTTTGATGTATCTGTTGTCTATATTTAGTTCCGAAAAGCCCATAATTTCCGGTAGTGCTTTTTTTACACTATTTATTTCTGATTCATCTAATTGTCTAAAATTAATTATTAGAGTTTGAAAATAATTATAAAGATAGTAAGTATTTATTGATAAAAGCTATCATAAAAGGCGAAGGAAATTAAAAACAGAATATATTTGAATGTTCCTAAAAATAAAGTGGACATCCCTACAACCTTTGACTTTGATTTAAAATCATTACATTCTATTACAATTTTGATATATATTTACAGTGAGCAAAAACTGTTTTACAGTAATTTTTTAATCAAGTTGTCTAGGATTTTCGAGTATCCAAAATGATGACGACCAATCAAAAAATTACTTGCATAAAATTAAAATATGATGGTTACTTGTCAGTATTAAGTTGACGCTATTTAAAAACATTTTCAAAACATAGTGATCTGTCTTCATACGTGCTAAGAATAAAAACATAGTGTTCCTACTCAAGGTAAGTAACTCGTATTTATATTATTGATTAATATATTTAAAAAACTTTAAATACAGGGTGTATCAACGATGCGTGGGTCAACGATAGCTGCTTCCCTATATGAGAGGAAAAAAAGCTTCAAATAAAAGTTGTAGAGGGCATTGAAAGCTACGTTCCAAAAATAACTACCAATATACAGGGTGTCCGATAAATGTATGAGTTATTGAAGTAATGTTTTTTTAAAGGAAACACCCTCTATATTTTTACTCGATTAAATTTCTTTGGAAGAGTGTTTCTCAAAAATATAGGGTTGTATGGGTTTATACTGGGTGGTTAGGAATTTTGGTGGGATTTAGGTAACAAAATGGGTTTATTCAACATCAAATCAAATATCTCTAAATCAATAATTTGGAATAAATTTTTTTTTCTGCCGAATATTCTCGAAAATAGTGTATTTTCATTTCCTATTCATAATTTTACCGAATGGCGCTTTTCCCATACAGGGGCAACCAAAACTCGGGACCACTTTTTTCTCAGTTTTTTCAAATGGAACACCCTGTAAATGAGGCCACACCAGGATAGCCCATACCATGAGCTTTCAGAAAATGTAGGGTTTGCCTACTTGATTTTTATCGGAAATGTATCTAATTCTTAGGGAAAGTATAAAAAAGTTATAAAAGCAATAACTATTTATTTATTATAAACGAACAATTATTTAAAAAAGCGTATATTCACAGCAAATGTTTAAACAATCTCACATTTTAAGCTATGCCCGAATTAATCATATCTACGATTGCTCTTCGAACTTTCATTAAAGTTAATCTTGTAATACAGCCAAAAATCAAATCACCCTTGAAACATTTGAACGTTATAGGAATTTGAGATTTAATTATCGAGGAGGAGAATAATTTATAGTTGAAATTTAATAATTTTTCGCTTCAAAATGAAATTATCCACCGAAGAAATGATAAATATGATCTACATTTTGGGTGAGTGTGATAGAAATTGTTTATTAGCCAGTAGAATGTATGTAGTTCGATACCCTGATTCAAGGTCTATACGACCAGAGACTTTTCGGAGGGTTAAAGAAAGATTTGACGAAACAGGCAGTGTCAAGCACGAGAAAAGGCAAGTAGTAAACAAAATTGCAACAAATGAAGAAAATGAATTAGCGGTGATCCTTTCAACAGTAGAGAATCCTCATGTTAGTACGAGGGAAATTGCAAGAGAGCTGGATATAAGTCACACTTCCGTGAACAGAATATTGATAAAAAATAAACTTCATCCATACCGAATTGAATTACATCAAGAACTTTATGAAAGGAATTATGACACCAGAGTTCGCTATTGCGAAAATATATTGAATTTAATTCGCGAGGAACCAAATTTTCTAAAATCCATTTTGTTTAGTGACGAGTCAACATTTAAAAGTAATGGAATAGTAAATAGACACAATTGCCACTACTACTCAACAGAGAATCCACATTGGGTCAGAGAAATTGATTACCAAAATAGATGGTCGATAAATGTTTGGGGGGGGGGCATAATTGGGGATCAGGTCATAGGACCACATTTCTTTGATGGTCCACTGAATGGGAAAATTTACAGAGATTTTGTCCGAGATCATTTACCAATTTTGTTGGAGGATGTACCTATTGACACCAGACTCAGGTTATATTACCAACATGATGGCGCGCCTCCCCACAATCAAAATCAGGTAAGATGGTTTTTAAACAGATGGCACAGTAATAAATGGATAGGAAGAAACGGACCCATTCAGTGGCCAGCTAGGTCTCCAGACCTCACGCCTCTAGATTTCTATCTCTGGGGATATGTTAAAGGAGAGGTCTACCGCGAAAAAACAACGACACCAGAAGACATGAAGAATAGAATTAGAGAAGTTTTTCACTCTATTACAAAATCAACTTTAATTGAAGTTAGAAGAGCAAATGTAGATAGACTTAATTTGTGCATAGCTCAAAATGGGAGATTATTCGAACATTTGATGTGAATTTATGCTTTTTCGAATGAAATAAATAAATAGTTATGGCTTTTATAACTTTTTTATACTTTCCTTAAGAAATAGATACATTTCCGATAAAAATCAAGTAGGCAAACCCTACATTTTCTGAAAGCTCATGGTATGGGCTATCCTGGTATGGCCTCATTTACAGGGTGTTTCATTTGAAAAAACTGAGAAAAAAGTGGTCCCAAGTTTTGGTTGCCCCTCTATGGGAAAAGCGCCATTCGGTAAAATTATGAATAGGAAATGAAAATACACTATCTTCGGGAATATTCGGCAAAAAAAATTATTCCAAATTATTGATTTAGAGATATTTGATTTGATGTTGAATAAACCCATTTTGTTACCTAAATCCCACCATCAATTCCTAACCACCCAGTATAAACCCATACAACCCTATATTTTTGAGAAACACTCTTCCAAAGAAATTTAATCGAGTACAAATATATAGGGTGTTTCCTTTAAAAAAACATTACTTCGATAACTCATACATTTATCGGACACCCTGTACGAGTACATTGGTAGTTATTTTTGGAACGTAGCTTTCAATGCCCTCTACAACATTTATTTGAAGAATTTTTTCCTATCTCATATAGGGAAGCAGCTATCGTTCACCCACGCATCGTTGATACACCCTGTATATTTGACATACAACGTTTTCATAAATGTGTCCACTTTCGAATCCATAATTCTGTTGATATTACATATTGTAACAGCTGGAAATTGAATCATACTGGTAGGTGCATAGTAACTCATTATTGTAGTTCTTGTAGGATTACTGACATATCTTTCCCAAAATAGAAATGTTAAATACACTGACGTTACGAATCCAGATAGAACCACTATTGTCCAAAATGATCTACAATAAATAATTATCGTGTTATTATTATTATTAAAGAGGGTCAAAGATATTATAGAGAAAAAATATAATACAAATAATCCAATAGAAGAGGCAGTGGCGGTTTATGACCAAAATACTAGGGGTTTAGAACGGCAGTACAGATTTAGTTAAAAAAACTTCTAGTGTTAACAAACAGAAATATACATTTAAAAATTCTTTAAAATCGCAGTAAAGTCCTATAGATATTTTTTTGATTTTGTATTTTTAAAATTTTATATTTATTATATTTTTATAGATTTATATATTCTATGCTTTATATTTAAATAACTTTTTTGTCATTTTAAACATTATTAATTATCTGTCTGTGATTATCAACTTTACTTTCTAAGTAGCAAAATATAAATATGTATATAAATTTTGTTAATTTAAGTAATTTTGTAATTTTGTCTTAATATGTATTGGAAATTCGTAAATAAATGAATAAATAAATAATATATTCCTAGCAACCAAATGAAGATGAACCTTTTACCTTGTGCTAGACCGTCATAATACTCGCCCTATCGAAATATTTTTAATAATAGTGACTAAAATGTTAACAACTCTAAAAAAATAGACAAATTTCTTACTTTTCCCAAGTTCCAATCTCTTTCATAACGGTATACTTCAAACCATGAATGCTCGTATTTTCGGCAAAATCTTTATAGGTTTCATATACAACTGACCAAAAACCCTTTTTTCGTTCTTTATTTTTTAACCTCATTTTTGGTATAATTTTCACCTAGTCAGTAAGTCGAATAAAACATTTCCACACTAAATAGGAATATATATGGCAGTTTAATTGTATTCGAACATGACAGGAAATATTTATTAAATATTCATGAAGTTCAGTTGTTGATTAATGTTTTTAACAGACTTATTTTTCACTAGTTGTAATTATTTATCGAATATATGTTTTTAATGTAAAATCTAATAAATATAGCGCATTTAATTCAAATATAAAGTTTTAAACGTATATCCCTCGCCCTGAATACTTTAGAATATGGAATTGTCATAAAAAATCACTCACTGGATTCCTCAAATATTTTAAAATGGAAAGGACATTTTTTTTGAACTCATAAGATGGTTTTATGTGACATTTTATAAAAAGTTAGTTCTCCAGTCTGTTCTGTAGAGGGAGCATGAATCGCAGTTGTACATTATATATCATGTGAACATGTTCTGCCGACTATATCAGTCCCAGATTATGATAACTCTGTAACCTAAAATTTTATTTTGCCAGATATAGTTCAAATGCGTTGTTAGATCCTATTTAAAACTACAAATAAAATAAAATTATTATTTGATGGTTTTTAAATACACTTTATGCGCATTTTATATAAAATAATGGTCGAAATAAATGAGTTTTTATTATCTTAACAGGAGTTGTTTGAAGCTTATTTGAAGAGTATATATATATTCATATTTCATGATATTGTGATGGTATAATATAGAATCTCTTTTTTTAAAAAAATCACATTTATTTGGATTTAATTTTAGATTTACGTGTCTCAATCTTTGGAAAACTTTAATTAAATTTTTATTGTGATTGATTAAATTATTTGCAAAAATAATTATAGTAGAATCACAATCGACACTGAGTAATAAATCTGTCAAATCAGAAAATTTCAGGTGCCTATATTATTATTTACGGGGTATACAAAATCATCATTTAAAAATATATTTTATTATTACTGCGGTATACAGGGTGTTATTGAAATACACGTACATATTAAAACTGGGTATTGCGCAGATCCTCACTGAATGTAGAAAAATATTATTTTTTAAAAATACCCCTTATTAAGGGAGTTATTAATTTTTGAAAATTAATTCTAAAACAAACGTACTTCACTGATATGTTGAGGATGACCTATATAAATTAGGTTTATTTACCTATTTTAAACATCAACAGTAATTAATATGCAAGTTTTTGTCAGATGATAAGAAAACTAGTCTTGTAAGAAATAACCATGTTGCCAAGATTTTCGAATTAATTTCTATTTCCGAAGACTGGTTTTTACTACCCTCGTTATCAAAAAACTAGAATATTTGATAAATGATTGTTTTTAAACTATACATTTTTGAAACTATAGATTATTAAAATTTTAGTTGATTTACGAATCTGGCTAACACGAGCGCGTCATTTCCAAGTTGGTAAAAAGTGTTGTTACGATTACTTTTAAATATTTTTTTACGATGCCACTATTTACGAATATTGAACTAACGGATATAGTGCTGGTTTATGGGGCAGCTGGAGAAAATTCTCGGCAAGCACAAATCCTGTATCGCGAACGGTTTCCAAATCGGAGAATTCCGGACTGTCGTACGTTTATTTCAACTGTTCAGCATCTAAGAGACCATGGAAAATTTGAGAGTGTCAATGCAGATCGAGGGAGAACAAGAACACAAAGAACATTGGCGGCCGAAGAAGAAATATTGGAAGCTATTGAAAACCGGCCTCAATTAAGTTGTAGAAGACTAGGTCTTGAAATTGGAGTGTCCTCATTTGTTGTGTGGAGGACACTTAAAGAACAAGGTTTACATCCTTATCACATCCAAAAAGTCCAGGCCTTATATCCAGGTGATGAAGAAAAGAGAGTGGAGTTTTGTGAATGGATGATTCAAAAATGTGTTGATATTCCTGATTTTCTAAAAATATTATTGTATACTGACGAGGCTTCATTCACTCGTGATGGCGTGTTCAATATGCACAATACGCATATTTGGAGTGATGAAAATCCTCACGCCATTAGGGAAACTGGGCATCAAAGAAAAGTTTCAATAAATGTTTGGGCTGGCATAATAGATCAGTATTTAATCGGGCCTTATGTTCTCCCGAACAGATTAAATGGGCCAGGATATCTCCACTTTTTAGAAGATATTTTGCCAGTACTCCTAGAAGAGATACCGTTACAATTAAGGCAACGGATGTGGTACCTACTAGATGGCGCTCCTCCTCACTTTGATTTAAACGTACGGCAGTTTTTGAACATTAGATTTCCTCAAAAGTGGATAGGCAGAAATGGACCTACTAAGTGGCCTCCGAGATCTCCGGACTTAAATCCATGCGATTTCTTTTTGTGGGGTCACATGAAACAACTGGCTTATAATGAACCTATTAATAGTGTTGAACAATTAACCAATGAAGTTAATGCGGTAGCCGAGGAACTACGACAAAATCCAAGACTAATTTCTAATGATCAAAGTTCTTTGGAAAGACGATTGCAAGTGTGTGTAAATAATAATGGACGGCATTTTAAACAATTACTGTAATAAACTTTATTTTGAATTAATTGGTTTTGCTACGGCAACAGTGCAATTTCTATGGGTAAGTTCAATTTCGATTTATTTTACTTCTTTAAATATGGAAACTAGTAGGTCGGAAAAGGGGACTCTTCCCCAATATTTAAATTTTAGAATTTGAAGTTAAAATTGGTGCCAATCGTTTTTGGTCATTACATACTATTCCCCATTTTAATATGTACGTGTATTTCAATAACACCCTGTATAGGTACTTTGTAAAATGTTTTTTTGAGTTATTTGCAATAACGGTTATGTAAAGTAGAGTTACCTGTTTGAGTAAATTTACAACAAGGTATATAACAAATATTTTTCAAGACCTATAAATTTGACTATTAGGTATACCTACATTAAATTGTTTAAATCGTTATAATCATTGACTTTTTGGAAATTTTTGATATTAAGGAGAAAGTTAATGACAAGTGGAGAGAAAGGTTTCAGCTTAGATTATAGAAAGTAATCCGAGGGTTCAAAATTTATAAATGTGACTACAATTGTATTAAAAATGTAAATAGGATAAATCTTTAGATTATAGAAATCTATAATCTAAGGGTTAATCGTTATTTTATTAAATAATAACAAAGGGGTAGGATTATAAGATGGTTACCTAACTAGGATTTGGTATGAAGATAAGATAGGCAGTTGCAGTTGGTATTTTGATCAGTTCCCAATATTATCTACTTTGTTTGATTAGCATTCTATATTATCTATCACAGTAAGAAGTTGCGGTTATTTTCGATTAATAGTGACAGTAGTATTGAAAAATGCAGTGTAGTTCAAGTTCAAAGGTTACACCTGTGAAACGTATAAAAAAGAAAATATTTACAAGCAATGTTTATAATAATTGCCTAAGAATGGAAAATCCTTTGTTTTCTGTTGACGATACTGTTGAAAAGACAAGCAATATGATGGGTGTAAACAAATCAACGATATATAAAGTTATATGTGTCTTAAAAAGTATAGTTGTTAAACTCCCAACGAAAAATGCAGGAGGTAAGAAAAAAGTGAAACTTACTGAACAAATTAAAAGCGGAATAAGAAGAAAATGTAACGTTATAAATAACGTTTCAGTTTTATTTCTGAAATATTAACGACATTTAATAATTATACCTGGGAAAAATATTCAGGCATGTCACTGGTACGGCGTTGGAGCCGTGTCTATTTCATGGCTACTTGTAGGAAGCTAAAATCGATAATTTGGGTCTTGCGCGATAGGACGATGGTAGGAGCCATTAAGTATTCTTTCGCTAATGCGAATAGGCCTTTTTCTCACTCATCCTCCGCTGAGATTGCTTCGTTTTGTGTATATTTGGAATAACCAAATTTTGATTTTTAAGTTAGGACACACTATATACTAGGACAGTTAGTATGACGATTTTACGAACAATGTGATGAAATATCTCGTTAATTTACCTTCGGCAGTTTGTTTAGTTATATTCTTTAAAAGTTTATATCCTTGTTTAACAGCATTAAAATAACCTCTTTATTCTTAATATAATACGATCGGTTACAAGGTTTCTAACTATATGCAGATGAACTATTTAAGACATCAAATAGGATGTTCATTGTTTCAATAAAATAGGCTGTATTTTCAGCCGTTATGGAAACTAATTCTCCAGTTCTTGTTGCTGTTTTAATGGTTGTAGCTACAGAATGGCTAAATCACTGAGTAGCGAGCTTTACGCTCATTTTTTCAAATGCATTTGGGAAAAGGTTTTTTAAAGTGATTTTTAAAAAAGCTCTTCCAGATTTCCTACGTTGGGTCAGTTCATAAACCTATTTAACATCAGCATATCTGATACATTTTCCATTGAAGATAAAATAACCTTGTAAAAACTTATTTCGAACGCATTTTACTAGGCCAGGCACATAAAAAATGCAAAGTAATTGTTTTCTCCTATGGCAAATTTAGGGTTATCTACAGTAATGTCCAAAGATCTATAGACTTTTTGGTTAACTGTAGATAAATCACACATTATCCCTATAGGTTCCAAACCTGAGTCTCGAATATGTGTTAAATCTTTAATAATAATAGTTTTGAGGGATTAAGCAAACACCGTTTTGGCTTAGAAAAAAAGCTACTGGAATTTTTCATTGGGAAATTATACTAAAGGTTGTCCGGTAAAAATTGACTTTCTTTTGTTGTTTTTGAAGTATTCAAACCTCCGATTTGTCTCTGATTTAATTCAAATATTTTTAAATATCCGATGTCAGGGTTCATAAAATATCATGCAATTTCGTTTGTTTGTTCTTTTATATTATTCAGTTATTTTAAAAGCAGAAACTCATAACCTTGCAAGAATTTAAGATGTTAACTGAAAAGAATTCGTAGGTATACCTCATCCCAGTCTGTTTATAAGATCGTTGAAGTGAAAAAGAGAAAACTTATAATATATATCCATGATACTATGAAAAGAAAATTATATTAAGCCGATTGATACTATATCACGGCCATATTTTGTATTG